TGAAGGTGTGCGTGTGGGGGGGAGAGGGGGCAAGTCGGGGGGGGGGGGAATGCGGACACTGCAGTGTACTCTTGCCCTTGCAGTTCTTTAGTAATAATACAGTCTATACCCATTCAGCTCTTCCCAACACTTTGTAGAGTTATGTGGTCTAAAAGCTTAGTGGATGATTTAAGAAAACTACAACTGCAATTTTGCTGTCGTGGGCTTTCATCAATGGCTGTTGTTTAAAGATGTCAAGGGTGAAGATGTGGTGAAGTTAACTTTGGCGTTAAAGGTAGCTCGGCAGGACCTCACAAAAATGCAGGTGAAGCTGAACACAATGATAGCAGACTACGGAGATGTTGTGCCCAGGAGAGATTTTGAGTCACTGGAGAAAAAATACTCTGATTTACTTCAGGAGGTGAGCATAAGCTCCTAATTTACATAAATACAAACATAACGTGCTGCTTCAGTGTTCAGGTTGGGATAGGGACTCAGTAAGCCTAGAGGTCACATAAGGGCATTTCTTTGTTCTTTGTATCTGAAATACACGAAAAGCCACTGCCCCAAAAAGTCCCTATCTGTTGGAATCTCAGACTGTCAGAGCACTCAAAACCATCACAAACGTCAGGTTTAACTGAGTTAACTCAGTTAACCATAAAAGCAATAATGGCCTGCAGACCACCAAGAGCCCACAGCTTGAGATCTACAGTCTGAAGTCATCATATATGTAAATAGATGAACTAGGTTAACCTCACATACATTGCACAGTTTTGTCTGAACAATGGCTGACTGAAAATGCTGCTGGGCTACTAACGGTTACCTGTCTAGATGGGTTTTTGCCTTTTCCAGTAGTACTAAATGGCTCCTTTAGCCTACTGGAACTCCAAGGTCATCAAACCCAACGATGGGGCTGTCCCTGCCCCATATGTCTATGGGCTACACTGCCTCCTCACCTGGGCTGTCTGACAACAGCTGAAAAAATCTGTTACTCTGGTCAGTTTGTTACAATCCTCCTTTCTGTGTCCTTTAGATGAAGACTCTGCAGAAGGATTTTGATCGGCTCCATAAGGAATATGAAACACTGCTGGAAATCCACAGACAGACCGCAGAAGAGCGAGACAACTTCTGCACTGAACTCCAGCGAGTTCAGCACAACTGCACACCCCGGCCCAACTGGGCAAAGTGTTCAGGTGCCAAATGTATTCTGTAGTGGTTGGCTTAAGGCAGCTCATCTTTAAACGCTTTGCTATGCTGCCTTTCTTACCTGCAACACCCCATTTTCTCCTGGGCTTTTATACAGTGGCCTGCGAGGGAAGAGCTTGCAGGGTATTCCATTTTGCCTTAGGCATTTTAGGAGACAAACTAGATGTCCTGAGATCTGTATCTATCCTGGGATTCACACAACACCAGCATGTGTGGGTGCATTCTCCTCTTCTAGCATCTCAGTGTCTTTTTGCTGTTGCAGAGGTGATTCCTGGTGGAGCTGAGCGGTGGGGCTGTCTGGCTGCAGGGAAGACCAGCGAGCAGCTTGTGGATGTGCTTCTGGAAGAAATAGGAACAGGAGCACTAAAAGAGATAAATGTCTTCCCTGGATGGGTATGTGCAAGCTTTCTTCTCTGCTTGTTTCCACTGCAATTAATTGATAATAAATATCCATTAGGAAGGTGGGAGAATTGCTTTCCTGGCTGGTGTCTTCAATATTCACTTTCTCATTAGTGTAACCACTGAAAAGTTTAAAGCTAGGAAAACTCAGGTGCAATAGCAAAGCTGAAACAGAGTGAGCATACTGAATACACAGCTGAAGTAGAATCATAGAATGGTTTGGGTTGGAAGGGACCTTGAAGATCATGGAGTTCCAACCTCCCTGCCATGGGCAGGGACACCTCCCACTAGACCAGGTTGCCCAAGGCCACGTCCAGCCTGGCCTTGAACACCTCCAGGGATGGGGCCTCAACAACCTCTCTGGGCAACTTGTTCCAGTGCCAGTAAGGCCTCATAGTGAAAATTTTCTTCCTAATGTTTAATCTAAACCTGCCCTCTTCCAGTTTGAAGCCATTCCCCCTCGCCCTATCACTACATGCCCTAGTAAAAAGTCCTTCCCCAGCTCTCCTGTAGGCCCCCTTTAGGTACTGGAAGGCCGCAATAAGATCTCCCCGGAGCCTTCTCTTCTCCAGGCTGAACACCCCCAGCTCTCTCAGCCTCTCCTCATAGGAGAGGTGCTCCAGCCCTCGGATCATCCTCGTGGCTCTCCTCTGGACATGCTCCAGCAGGTCCATGTCCTTCTTATGTTGAGGACTCCAGAGCTGGATGCAGTACTCCAGGTGGGGTGTCATGAGAGTGGAGTAGAGGGGCAGGATCACCTCCTTTGACCTGCTGGCCACACTTCTGATGCAGCCCAGGATACAGTTGGCCTTCTGGGCTGCGATTGCACATTGCTGGCTCATGCTGAGCTTTTCGTCAATCAGCACCCCGAGGTCCTTCTCCTCAGGGCTGCTCTCCAGCCGTACCCCACCGAGCCTGTATTTGTGCTCGGGATTGCCCCAGACCCAGATGTAGGACCTTGCACTTGGCCTTGTAAAGTAGCCATACTTTACAATGGTGCCACGTGAAGCATCAGAGAGGCAGGTATTACTAGCGGCCTAGAGCCCCTTGCTAATGCCTCATTATACGGCTGAGGCAAATTAACCGCTTCCTGCTGCTGATAAGCCTCATCATTCTGCCCTGTCCCTCCCCCCTGGCACTGGCTGCAGTGACAGGGAAGAATCAGCAGAGCAGTATTCATTTTTTCACGGGTTAATTCTCTGCTGATGAGATGAACTCAGACAAAACACTAGAGTGACTAAGTAGTAAGACTACATAGTAGAGAATAACTCGTTTTCGTGGCATTGGGAAGTCCATTCTTCTCACATTGTCCCATTGCACTGCACCCCAGCACGTGAGGGAATCAGGAAATGACACAGGGACAAGGACGTGTCACAAGGGTTCTTCACATCATACCAAGCATAGCTGCATCCAAAGGTTTTCTCAGGGACAGAGTACCATTTCTTTGGTCCTTCAACAGCTCTTCCTCAACCTTTCCAGAAACTTGAACTGTTTGCCCTGCCATTGCTGGAAGATATTTCCAAGGAAGATCTTTCCTCTTCTATTTTTGCTGGGAAGAACGTCTCACACAATCCCATTTTGTCCACCCTGGAGCACTTTAGACACACTGCAGAGTTGCTGACAGATGTGTTTTACAGGACTGGGAACGAGACCCACACAAATGACTCCTTTTAATGGCTTTAGATGCCGATAATGTGCCTTTGGTGCTGCCTCGCTGCCAGTGAGGCAAATGCCTTACCTGTGTCTGTGTTTCTCTTCTATTACTTAGGGCAAAGGTGACGATGTTCCTGTGTACCTGAGGCATGAAGGTGAAGTCAAGAACAAAAAGTTGACTAAGCAAGATGTGGTCAACATCCTAAAGGATGTCTGGAAGGAAAAAATTGCACTAGAACAGCAGGTTTGTCCCATTTTCCTTCTCCACAAACAGTGTACGCTGTGACAGTTGGGCCCATTTGGGAAGGCAGGGTCTCGCCCATGTCCTGCCTGGTGTTGCATCTGGATGAAGCTGCATGAAACATTGTGAGAACAAACCACCTCAGTTGGCAGTAATCCTGTGCCTGGCGGGGTTTCTTCTCTTGAGCTGGAAGCTTAGAAACATCTCTGAAATCAGCCCTAAATGGCTTAATGTTTTCTATGGCAGCTGTCTTTGTACTTACAGCTCCCTTTCCTGGGCAAATAGGGTTGCTGCAATCGCTGTCTGGCTCTACTGTTCTCCAATAACCACTTCCATGTCTCTACCCGTGAGCCAAGCTCAGCTGAGTCTGACAGAAGGGCAGTGCCTCGCAGGCAGCAAGTTCCTGCAGATTTCACAAAAACGGGTAGGAGAAGAGAGACTTTATCAGTGGTGTCAGCAACAGAAGAGCTTCACTGTAAACCTACCCACATTTAGAGAACAAACTTGCGAGAGGCGTTTTGAATGCTCTAATGATGAGGAAGACTCCAACCAGCACTAGCGCTGTGTTAGCACTGTGTGAGATCCCCAAAAGACAGACACCTATACACAAACAGCGAGAATCAAATGGGCAGATTTAGTTCTGCTGCTTACAGGAGTTACTCGTTATCTGCAGACGGGGAAGCGGTCCAGTCTGCCCGAGTTCTTTCTCAGCTACCTCCAGAAGAAGTACGGAGATGCCGCTGCCATAGAATGGTCTTACACCCTCTACGAGAACATGCGGCTCTGTCGATCAAACCATGTCCTGAGCTCTTTCTACGACATACTCACTGGGAAGGTAAGCAACCCACAGCCCAACGCCGCACCTCTGCCCAGACATCCCTGGTGTGACAGGCAGCAGGCAAGGGAAGCGTTGCTCTGCAGAGCAGCTTCACCTCCCATTCCTCCCTCTGGGAAGCTGCACCTTCTCCTGAGAATAAAAGTAAACACTAGAGAAGGGAACCCTGTCCATGCAAAACATGGCAGGTTCTTACTGCTCCCAAGAGAGCTTCTAGAAGATCTCATTTCTCCCAAACACTTTGGTCACATCATATCTGCTCTCTCCGATGAGAAGCTTTCTATTTGCAATACTTCCATACACACCTCGCTCTCTCTCAGTAGGTCTTTCCTGACTCACGATCTGTCCCTGTGCAGTTTGTGAAGATCAGGGCATAGTCTCTGAACTGCAGCGCTGTGCGGGCCCTGGCAGCCTTGCTCCCCACTCCCTGTAGTTTTGGCTACACAGCCCATCATTCCAACCCCTACGAAGACATGTAACCCCTGCTCCGGGTCTTCTTATACTTGTGTCTTGCTTGGAAATGGAAAAGTGGCTGGGACCGAGTCCAACCATCCAGGCAGGGAGGCCGCTGCCATTCTGGGGGATCCAGTGCGTGTGTCTGCACCCGGGGGTTTGACAGCCATCCCAGATGTGCAGGGGTGAGCCTCTGCCCTGCGCCCCCGACACATCATGGGGGCCATTCTCACCATCTGCCCTCAGAGCTCCTGCACGTGACAGCAGGAGAACTGCTCTGCAGCAGGTTGTTCAATGAGAAGCCACTGTGAACAGCCACCCCGCAAGCCACTGTGTTGCTTGCTTAATTGTTTGTAAATCACCAAAACCCCTTCCTGTAGAAGTTGCTTTAGAAGCGAGCACAGTCCTTTGGCAGTTTTGCTTCCCTCTTGAAGGCGGTCCAAAGGACAGACGGGGCAGTTGCTGACCTGTGAACCTTCCCTGTTTCACAGGTAGGTGAAGAACAGTACCACGGCCAGAATCGGCTCATTTCCAACCTGCGAAAGGAGCTGGCTGCCCGCGACAGCTCCCATGGCGGAGCCCTGACCAGCGAGCGCTTCAGGCAAGAGGCCCACTGTTGCCCACCGGGCTCTGCCCACGTCTGGCGCGCGTCGGATGTTCTGATACGCTGCTTTGCTTGTCTGCCAGCACGGCCGGGGGAGGCAGCTTTTCTCTCTTTTAAACTCCTGTAGCGACTCTGTTAACCTCTGCATTAGGTTTAGACCAATGTCGATGCTGCAGGTTTCCAGCAGTGCCGCTGAAGAGCCCTGGGAGCGGATGCGAGGTGCTTTGCACGTGCGGTGGGCCCTGCTGGCAGCCCCCGCGCCCTGCGGGGACACGGGACCCTGCACAGTGCTCCCATGAGCTCCCGCGATAGGTCACAAAGCATTTCTGTGAATTTTGCTAGGGATGCAAGGTTTGTCAGTCTTTTCCCAGTCAATCAACCGGCTGTGCCTTCATCAGTGATACGCTAAATACAGCGTTTCTTTGGGCCGTGGCACAGAAGAGAAGCACCAGCCACTTCCAGCACCGAGCTGGGAACGCAGCTCTGGCACAGACACACTAACCAATTCGGTCTGGGCCACCGCATTGCGTTCAGAGGTTGCCACGTGGCTCAGCATCCAACACTCACCTGAGTCCGAAGCTCTGCTGAAAGCTTCACCCTTGCTTTGGTGTCTAAAGGTGTGGGTGGTTCTCAAATGTATTTGCTATGAGAACAATGAATTTTTGAAGATCTGGCCCACGGAATACATGTACGCTTTGGTAGCCTAAAACGCAGCCAGCCACACTGGCAGTCGCGAAGTGCTCGTACCGTAACAGCACACACACTCCTGCCCATGTTGCCTGTCTCCATACAGCACAGCGGTGAGAGAAGCTTTTCCCCTGAAAAGGAACACATCAATCCAAGAACTAGTCGACGCAAGCCGGTACGAGCTGGACAGCACTGAAGACCTTATCAACTACGTATCCTTATTCAAAGAAGTAAGATTATGTTACTTAAGTTTTCCTTTCGATTCACATTAAGCCTAGTTTAGGGCTTAAATTAGTCTTATTAGGTTCACCAGACTAGCAAAGTTGCAGTGCCCACCACAAGCCGTAACACCCGAAGGCCATCTGCGAAAGACGGCAACACAAGCTCGTGCCTTTTCTGCGATAGGAGTTTTTCCATATTCTTTCTCTTTATTTCCACTTTTCACAGGGAAATTCCATTTCTAGGGGAGCAATTTTAACACACATTGAGGGGCAGTTCCAGACTGGAATGCGTGTTCAGTACTAACGCACCTGTAATTTCTTTCAGGATGAGGAGGGGAACGCCGCACCTTTCATTGCGAAGCTCAGGAGCCAGTACGTCAGGGAGAAGCAGGAGTACCTGAGGCAGCTGAAGAACAAGCTGGGAGATTTAACGTAAGTCTGGAGGGAAGGGGCTGATGAGGGACAGCAGATGGGGACCCCGCTGTGGATGGAGGAGTGCATGGCCAGCACAGAGGCCTTCTGCACTACAGAGGGCCCCAGCTGTGAATATTGCAGTAAATACTGAAACCTGGCTGAGCCCTGCTCTACAAAACACGGCACAGCCCCAGTTCCTGACCCAAAGGGCCTGGATATGGCAGGCAGCAAGTAGAGAAGATTGGTTGTACCAGTAATCCCCCTGCAGTACTTTAAGTCTCATGTTTTGACACTCAGCTCTCCAAAACCAGCAGGTAAAATCCTGCATATCCTCAGAGGTTGGTCCTGAGGAGTGGGAAGAGCAAACAGCACTGACAAATGCCGATTTAAAGAAATAATTCCACCTCAAAACAAGACAAACAAGGGGTATTTACTGCATTAGGAAAAAAAGTCTGGTGCCAGGCACCGAGCGCTGAGAACACCAAAGATGGGTAGATGCTCGTGAAGTCCTGTCCAACGTGGGCACCGAATTAGCAAGGGAAAATATAGTTCTGTAACAAAGGACATCACAGTGCACACGAGAGCAAAATTAAGGTCTTCCCAGGTTATCACAAATCTAACAGTTCCTAACTTCTGTTCAGTTTGAAAGCTAGTACTCAGCACCCTTTATTATGTGCATATTTACTAAGCAAAGGGTTACTAGTGGAGGCAGAGATAACAATAGCGAAAGACATCTCTGCTCTGGGTTTCAAGCAGCATGGATTCTCACGGTGACACAAATATTCCTTTGGCCGTGACCAAATTGTTTTTGAACAGAGAGGTGAAGACAGATGATCTGAAGACCGCCTTCCACATGATCAATCCTGATATTGATGATCAGACGCTGGACACCTACATTGGCCTGGCTTACCTGGCCCGGAGAGAAGAGCCAGACAGAGGAGCAGTGCCTGTGGAAACGGCACTTGAGAGACTGCTCACCGGAGACGTGAGACGAGTAGGGCCCTCACCCAGGGAGGGAAGCACAAGGGGCTTTGAAGGAGAGTAAGCAGACTTGCAGTGTTAAGAATAAATGGACTGTTTCACAGAATCAGAGAATGGTCAGGGTTGGAAGGTCCCTCTGGAGCTCCCCCAGTGCCACCCCCGGCCAGAGCAGGGGCACCTCCAGCAGTGGCACAGGACGGCGTCCAGGCGGGTTTGGAATGGCTCCAGAGGGGGAGACTCCCCCACCTCTCTGGGCAGCCTGTGCCACTGCTCTGCCGCCCTCACAGCAGAGAAGGCCCTCCTCAGGTGGAGATGGAACTGCGTCTGGTCACCTTTGTGCCCGTTCCCTCTTGTCCTGTCACTGGGCACCACTGGAAACAGACTGTTCCCATCCCCCCGGCACCCTCCCTTTAAGGATTGATCAGCATTGATAAGATCCCCCCTCAGTCTTCTCTTCTCCAGACTGAACAGCCCCAAGTCCCTCAGCCTTTCCTCATAAGAAAGATGCTCCAGTCCCCTCATCATCTTTGTAGCCCTTTGCTGGACCCTCTCCAGCAGTTCCCTGTCCTTCCTGTTTGATCTGCAAGATTTGCCACCAAGCTGGGAGTCTGAGTTACTGCGCTAAATCCTCCTTCCCATGCAAACAGAGACCCAGCTGGTAACCAGCTGAGAGGTGACACCAGCTTGAGCTATCAGAAGCACTTTCAGCTTCAGCAGAGAAGCACTTGGCTACGCTTTTGCAGCCTGTGCAGTCATTTCAGCGCAGCGAGACTTGCCATGGGAGGGTTCCTCATCCTCAAACTGAGGTTTCACACCCCCGCGGCACTGCCGGGTGTCAGGCTCTCTGCTTGGTGACAAAAAAACGATGCTCCAGCAGCCATTGCTAGAACCTGAGAAGCCAGCATCGCGCTCCAGGCTGCAGCGTGGCGGCTTCAGCCCTTTGGCCTTAGGGTTCTTTGGCTCTAAGAGGGTTTCAAAGACAACGTTTGCAAAATAAGGCGCCATCAGCACAGTCAGGGTGTGCGGGAAAGTTGTGTTCAACTCCCACCAGGTTTGCAATCACGTTTGTCCCCAAGGAGGCTCTTATCTTGGTGTCGATGCTGTCATCAGCATGACATCACTCTGAAAGAAATTCAAGTGCTGCCCCATGAGTAGGTTGAACAGAACTCTGAGCTGCAAAAGCAATCAAAGCACAGAAACACCAAAACCTGTCCCTTGCTTCAAGAAAGACACCATGTGCCTTTTGGTAACTGCTTTTCCAACCACTGGCATCAATTAATCTTTCCTATTCATTAGTGTCCTCTCTATCCTGCACATCGCCCTCTCCAGGCAGGGGAATAAGGGGGTTTGATACAAAAAACCCAGAGGAAAACAGCTCTGCTACAGTTGTGCCTCAATTGCTGAGTAAGTGGAGCAAACCCAAGAAGGAAAACCCGTTCTTTTTCGCATAACATAGTTTGAAAAGTAGAAAGAGGAAAGCTGAAATCAGAAGTTGTCTTCCTAAAAAAAAAAAATGCACAACACTATTTTTGTGAGCATTTGCAAATTCTGGTTGCATTTGTGAACTGGGAAGGCGTCACGGCCTGTGTGAGAGCGCAAGTACCACCGAGAGGGACGAGACCCCTGGGGCTTCTGTCTTGAATACTGAATTTGGTGCCAGGCACTTCCAACACAAATCACAAAATACCAGGAAAGGAACTAGAAAAGGATTGAAAAAGGAAATGCATCGTCTAGCTAGGAACCAAACGTCCTAACTGCAGGTATGTCTAGCAGTATTCCGAAAGGAGGGGGTGTAATAGGGCAAAATTCAGTAGATCTAAAAAGGACGGGGAACTTAAACACCAAGAAAATGCCTGGTAGATGAACATCAAATTTGGAAAGCTTTTCAAAAAAGCCCCTGAAGGGGAGGTAGAGAAAGCAGTGGGCTACAGGGAGCAGGAACTACTGGTTTTGCTTCACCCTGAGGACTTCAGATCCCCCAAAGTTCACAGCTGTTTACAGCACCGGGTATCTCTTTAGCCTTTCCAGCTCCAGTGTTAGGACTTGAACAACATGTCCCTAAAAGTCTTGAATTTAGTCACCCCTGACTTGACTGCAATGAGAGGCTGAACCTGTCTCAGCAGAAGACAACGGGGAGTCTTACCTCTCCCTCTCACAACATTCCCACCCATCCAAGCGCCAACAGCTGCCTACAGCTGGAAGCTGTTCAGGTGAGGATGCAGCAGCCCAGGAAGTGGGATGCAGATGTGTATCCCGGCAGCGTGGGGAGGCAACACGATGGAGGGAAGGAGGAACAACAGCTTCTCTCTGGAAGAGTCTCTCCAGTCTCTCCCTTGGAAAAGAGGGTTGTCGGTGCGTCAGCAACACAGAGAAAAGTTGCAAACTTCATTATTGCTTCAGGTTAAAATTTTCAAACTCTGGCATGCAAAGCCTTGAGGACACACTCGAAAAGTCCCATAATAGCAGAAAATGTATTTTTAAAAGTGTAAGTTTTGCAATATTTGCAAGTTTGCCAAGAACAAACCTGCTTCCTTTTTAATACTGAAAAAAATCCCCTTTGTTGTATTAATAGAATTGCTTTGAAAAAAAAATACTTGAAAAATGACTGACCTTTGTATTGGTACTGCCTGCCAAAGAGATTTTAACTTTATTGGCCATCATTTCCTTTAGCATTGTGCAAAACCTGTTTAACTTGCAAGTGGTGCTGCCAAGAACGGGGTTGGAATTCCCGGAGTCCGTATTAACTGTGCCCTTTAGCTGTAGTTTTGGGAAACTACGCTGCGCACACAGCTTAACGCAGAGAGAGGGATCCGTGCCTCCAGTGGGATTTCGGACGGGCTTGGGTTGGGCAGTCGTGCTGTGTGACCATCAGCTGCCTGCACCAGTGTGTGCAGAGCCCGCGCAGGCTGTCCCAGCCCAGGAGTGCGGGAAGAGCCACCGGTGGGATGATGTTTGCGCTGAGCTTCGACTTATCCCGCCTGGACCAGGCTCAGCCCCAGTCTGTCCTGTCTGAGACTGCAAAGCAGCAGCTTGAGCCATCCCTGCTTCACAGATGCCTGGAAATTACTTAATCAATTTAAAAGACTCCAGTTTAGGTCCGATTAATCAGTTTAAAGGCTCAAGTTTTTCAAGTTCAAGACAGAGATGCTAAGAATTAGGGGGAAAAAATAAAATCTACTAATTCTTCTCAGAAATTAAACAAGCCCCTTGTCTTCTCTTGGGAATTACAGACTCACTAAATAAAAGAAAACCACATTAGAGTGCCAGACTGACCCCCTGGAAAGACACTGAAGAAAAACACCCAAGAGAAAGTCTGCTATCCATATGCATATCCATCCCTCCGAAGCTTATGCGTGTGACGGTCCTCGTTCTTTCCCAGCTTGTGAATCCTTTTACAAAGTCACAGTCCTTTGCACCCAAAACCCTCTGCTGTGGTTGACCTCATTCCTGGCACGGGTTAGGTTCACTCTCAGCAGTGAAATCAAACATGAGGATTTTGCTTTTCTGGTTTCCCGATCTGAGGAACACGAGGGAGCACAGTGCGGACCTGCAACCGCCTGTATGGAGCAGCAGGGGGGAGGCCAAGCCCCCTGCGGGAGCCGAGCAGCAGAAACCCCCCGGGGTGTGTCAAAGACGCAGAGGATTTATTTGCTTTTTTTACTTATGGAATCGCTGCTTGGATTGTGCAGCTTCGGACAGTGAGGTGGGACGCGATCGTATCCCGGGAGCGGGCTGACCTCTGCAGAGCAGCTCCTGGCACTGCCTGTGACGCTGCCAGGGAGCAGGGACCTTCCAGGCCCATTTCTGTAGGCAGCCAGAGAGGGGACAGCACCAGGGCTGGCAGAAAACCCCTGGGGAGGCACAGCCTTCAGCTGTAACAGCTCGATTTAACTACAGCTGGCTGCCAGCCGCCCATCCAGCCACTCGCACTCCCTCTCCTCAGCTGGGCAGGGGGAAATCAGATGGAAAAAGCTCACGGGTCAAGATAAAGACAGGGAGATCGCTCAGCAATTGCCATCACGGTCAAAAGACTCAACTTGGGGAAGATTTCATTTATTGCTGTTATGGTTTGAGGAACCCACAACAATTTATTGTCATTTAGACAACTATTCTCTCACCCAATGAACTGGCTCTGCCCAACCTCGGGGCCAAAGCCCACTCCTGCAGCCCTCCCCCATCCCACAACCAAAACCTTGCCACGGAAACCCCATACACACCATTACCTCCACCTGAACCAACCTCTCCCGGTCCACCTACCACGGCGCACCAGAAAGTCTCAGCTCTCAAATCGCCTTAGAGTACTGCTCGCTAATTCCCCACAAGATTTAATTATATATAAAGTATATTTTCCCCGTTTCAATTCACATCAGCAAACAGCTGTGGTCACAGATGGATTGTCATCTGCTCTTGACCCAGCAGACCAGACCTGCAAAGGGGGACAAGACCCCACATCTGAAAGCCCCCGCTCTAGAAAAATACACAGCTTAACAAAGATCTGCTGCTTTGTGGAAGGCAGTATGTCACCCTTCTCCTTTGAGCAAACAGCTAGTTAGTACAAAGAGGCTCAACACAGCTAAATGTCCCTATAGGAACATTTTGAAGAACGCAATGCAGTAGCCTTTCAGCTCGCTGGAATGAGCAGCATTTGTATCGCGCAGAATACATACAATATTTTATTTATCAGAGCTGTACAAGTATTCAACAAGTAAAATAAAAAATTCAGGCCGGTCAAATTACTTGTAATAATAGCAGGTGAGATCACGCAGGCTGGTGTGACAGCCACACCACAACCGCCATCAGTTCACGAGAACATCGACCATTTATTGCCCCACTCGTTACTGGTGGAAAACCATCACAGGAGCAGTTACACGGACCAACCTAGAGCCCGCTCTGCGAGCAGGCCATCCTCCTGCCCGCAGGGGTGCGTTCATTTGCAGGGGATCACTTTATTTCCACTCACAGCAACCGGAATCAGGAGCTTCCTGTACTCCAGAGGCAGGTAACGCTCTATCAGCACACACAGCGGCATCTTGTCTGTCACCAGCCCTTGCCTTTGTTTGAAAAGGAGGAGAGCAGAGAAGAAACAGTTGTCAGTGAAAAGTGTTTCCACTCAATCAGAGTAAAGTTTTTAAAAAGTTTTCTTGCAGTGGCATTTTTGCATTTAATAGCTGAAATGCTGTGGCTGCTTGTGATACGAGAAGCTACAGATTTCTATTCCCAACCCCCCACTACTTCCTCTTGCCCCTCCACCACCGTCACCATGGAGCATAAAACCCCACGTCCACGAACGCCCTCCTGGGACAGAAGGCCACGTGGCATCACACAGAGTAAACCACAAGATATCGCACTTACTGTGGCCATACTCCTAGAGCGCACCCCAGCGAGGACGGTCTTACCGGGCTATCAAAGCACCACCACACACTACTACGGGTTAATAACAACCCTCCCTTTACCTTCTCATGAGGACTTCCAGGTCAGCCATCTCCACTGTCTTCCTCCCTGCATGGTTCGTGTAAGCTTCCAGATCGCTGCTTAACTGCTTGAAGTATCTCTCAGAGCTGCAGGAGGATTGAGGAGGGAAATAAAGTCAGGCTGCGGAGTGCATGAACACCAGCTACTCCCCCACTTCTGCAGGGCAAGTTGCAGTAGAGCTGCTCGCTGCGCAGGTCACAGCCTGCCAGGGAAAACTGCCAGAGAAGAAACACTCCAGAGAGTGCTAATGATGTTCATGTGCTGTTAGCGACAGCAGAAGTGTGAATGGCGCAGTTTGTACCAGCTGGGACAAAACCCACAAGCTCCTGCAAGGCAGCGTTGGGCATGGATACCCTCGCAGCAGCCAAAAGCACCCAGCGCTTTTCTGTCCTCATTTTAATTAGACCTCTCATGACTCTCCCCAGCTGTCAGCTTGCCAGCAGCGCTCCTGACAGGTTTTTTATTTCAGAAGAGAAAAGAAAGGAGAGAAAAAAAAGCCTAACAAGAGTGGGAGGAGGAGCAGTTTGCTGTTGCTTACCATTTTTCAACAATTTTGAACGCATCTCTGGCCACTGGCATTTTCACATAATGGCTAAATATCTTCTTTATCAAACTACTTGCTAATTCAGGCTCACACGTTTTCCTCTGTGATGCTCCCGAGCTCTTTGGAAGCGCCTTAGCCCGCAGCAGCGACCTTTGGGGGAAGTTGAAAATTCACACATCAAACAAAAACACGGGGGAGAGGCAGAGAAGACCAGGCTGAGTTTGGGCAAACCTTATGCTGAATTGGAAGGGGGAAGAACTACCTCGAGCTCTTAATTCTTTCTCCCTCCCAATTCTTCAGAACCCTTATGCCCATGAAGTACAGTTTGCAAACAGCTCACATGGCACTATGATCTTGGGAGAAGCAATCCAGGCTCAAGCATCCCCGAGATAAGCACAGCAGCACAACAAATGGTCAGCAAACTATAGCTGCCTCCAACGCATAAATGCGGTTTTTACTGCATCCCTGTAGAATTCACTCTCTTGGAGTGCACAAAGTTTGAGGCATCCTCAGATCACCTCTGTACCTGCAGACAGGTCTGCAGGGTATACCTTTACACTATTAGGAACATTTTATTTAGGGGTTTGGGTTTTTTTGTGGGTTTTGAGGGTTTTCTTGTTCGGTTAGTTGGTTTTTTTGGTGTTGTTTTTTCTTTTTTAATTTTCCTTAGACAAGACCGTAAGTCCCAAAGGAAACTACTACTGGTTTTCATTCTGAAAAGGAAAAATTGTAACATGAAAAAATGTAAGTGAAATCCCCGGATTCACTGAGTAGCCAAGGAGAAAACAACAGAAAAGACCCGGAATCTCAGGCTAACAGATGCAAAACCCCCAGAGGGAGTGCATGTATCATTTGATGCTCTCTCCAGCCCACCTGCATGTTTCTCTGTCAGAACCTCAGGGGCAGCTGGAAGAGCTCAGCCCCAGCGATGAAGTATGTGTAGTAGTGAGGAAAAAAACCCCAACAAACAAACAGTCATGATTTAAATCATCTTGGTTACTGTTTCCGTGCCTCAGTTTACCCATTTGTGAATGATTATATATGAACGTTTGGTTCACAGAATCAGGGCAAAATTGAAGTTTATTGACTGCATGAGACTTTGGTGTTTCCAAATCACAGAATCATAGAACAGTTACAGTTGGAAGGGACCTTAAAGACTCTCTACTCCCAACCCCCCTGCCATGGGGGGACACACCTCCCAGTAGAGCTAAACAAAACATTCTGTGGCCCTTATCTGGTACAGTTGATAACAGTAGATTTGTATCAGTATAAAGAGATTATTTTATAGCAGAATGCCTTAACCATGGCTCTCACAAGGTTATTGCTCCACTACGTAACCTTGAGGATTCCTCAGGCTTTTAACCTGAGCACTGCCATCTCAGGAAGCAAGCAGGCCAAATCAGAGCCAGACAGTATTCCATAAAATGCAAACAAACCATGCACTTTTTGTGCAAGAGCTTCCTGTAATCGAGGCTCAGAACCTATAATTTTTTATTATCTGTTATCTCAGCACAGCTTGAAAGCCTGAAGAATCTGTCAGTCTATTAATGTCCAGAAATTCCTGTGAAGAACGTGCATCCAAGTATGTGGACTTCTTTTGCCAATGAGGACCACCACTCTCTATAGAAGAATTAGCATTCAGCCATTCCATATATAAAAATAAATAAATAAATAAAGAGCACGTCCCAGCGCAAAATCCCAAAGCAAATCTGCATTCAGTTCCACATCAGCAGAGTATCAAAGACTCCTTTTTCTATTTTATAAATGTATTTTAATATCCATGATTAGAGCAATCATCTGGCACCTTCTGTAAGCATCATTCATCTCTGTTCACAGCAGTAAAGGGCACAAGAATTCGTTTTTATTGCTTATTGCTCCAATAAACAAAAATCTAGAGTCATGGGCTAGAAAGCTCCTGTTCCCTGGGACCCACTGTTAGCGGTTCTGATGAAGCATATGGCTTCACCAAATTTCTAGTTAAGCTGGTGACAAATGTTAATTAACTTGGAGTACTGCAGAGGACAGGTTCACTTTCTGCCTCTAGGTGAGCTTCATTTTACACTTAGCACACGAAAATATTAAATGAATGTTCATTGGAAGGACTTGAGGCATCAGGTCTGTTCTGGGAGAGTACTGACATTCACTTCATAGACTTCTTTATTCACTGCTAAAGCAGCGAACAAGCTAAAGGCTTCAGGACCACTTACTCTGCTCAGCTGATGAAGCACAACACAACTGACAAGGCTGGGATCGGCTCTGCCCCTGGTACTTACACCCCCACGTACACTTCTCCCAGGCCACTGCTGAAGGTGGCTTCTACTTACTTGGGAGCAGCAGATTTTGCAGGACGTGGAGTTGGCAACTTGGGCGCAGCAGGTTTTGTAAGACGTGGAGTTGACAGCAGTGGCTTGTAGGCTGCAGCACGGACAAACGTGGGCGTCTTCATGGAAACCTCTACAGTGGAAAGAAAAGTAGTTGAGGAACCGACTCTATTTTGGGAGTTCCTGCAGCCCAGCCAGCTTCCCACACATCTGGTCCGGTGCCACGCTGCCTGCGCTCAGGCTGTGGCTCAATGGCCCCCCTGAACCAGTGCGACTGCTGGCTGCCGCAGTTCCACCCTCACCACCTCCTGCCACGCAGGCCGGTGGTTTCCCTCACGCCAGATCCGGCACAGCAGGGCCCGTGCTGGAGCAGCAGGCTGGGCAGGGTGTAGGAACACACGCTCAGGACCAGGCTGCAGGGGCTCATGGCCGGGTGAACTTAGGCTGCCAAGAAGCTGCAACCTCTTTTCCCAGAGAGAATAAAGCCTGCAAGCTCTACCACGCTGCTCAATCAGTGGCAAATTCTCCCCAATAGGGACAAGCAGACCAACAAAATCACGTTACATGGGTCAGTCTATGAGCATCTCTCATACTCACAGATTTTCATAAATTCCCTCCAGCTAAGGCTGAGGTTATAGACAGTACCTCACCACTTCTTTAGTACCTCACCACTTCTTTGCTGTGAACTACCCATATCAGTTCCCTCCAAGTCTAATCTGCATCCTCTAACTTCACTCTTGAACTTCTTCACTCCTTAACAAGGGGGCGCAGGAAAGAAAGCCGTGTTAACAGAACTGAAATAGTGAGCAGCTTGCCCTCAGGAGTGGTCACGGAGGGCCTCTCGCCTGCCAGCTTCCCTTGCAAGCTGAGCACAGCCCAAGGACCCGGCGTATCTGGTAAGGGTGTCAACTTCACATCCCTCACAGGGACAAGAGCTAGGACACCTGCCCCGTTACAGAAGACAAGCCCAACTACTTAGAGGCCTCAAGTACTGCTGAGAGTTAAACTCCACCATGCAAAGGGTCAGGAGTCTCTCAGAGAAAGCTGGGCTGGGTGAACTACCGTGGTTCCTCGCATTAGCTTCTTCTGAAGAAATATCTGTGTGCTAGAGGGACAGGGAGCAAGATGCAGGGGAAGAAACTAGTTATGCTGAGGTATCTGAGGTTAAGTTTTATGACAACAGGTCATATTTTTTCATCTTTTCTTCCTACTTTTCTTCCTTTCCTTGTTCAAAGAGACCTGCAAGATGTTACCCTTACTGTTCCACCCTATCGCAGCAATCTTTTCATCAAGATCTTTCCATCTCTTCGTACAGCTGTGTTAAAGAGAAGCATGTTGACACACTATCGTAGATGCCCTAAGAACAGCTACAGTTTTTCTTGTGGCAAAAGTTCAACTGTCATCTTTGTGCCTTCCACACTGCACAAATATATACAGGCACTGATACATTACAGCTGTATTTTCCCACAATGCCTCAAATCCTGGCAACGGGATTCTTTTAGGACATCCTTAGTTCAGTTTTTAACTTCAGAGTGTATTGTACTTTGAAAGACTTTAAGAACAGTCCAAAAGGCATCATTAAAACACACTGGGCATTCTCAGACATGGCTTTGATCAAAGAGCACTCAGTCTGATGTACATGTTCTTCCAAAAGGCATAAGCACTCCTGGGGCAACAGAGCAGAGTGATGCAGTGTCTGAAGGACTGTTTAGAAGCAGACACTTCCTCTCAGCTTTCTGGAAAGCCAGCCTACTCGTGGTTAACTGGAAAGGAAATCTGTAACCACACACACAAAATATGGGATTCTAAATTAGATTTCAAGTCTGGAGTCACGTAAATGGCTGTGGAAACAGCAGTTCAGTGCTAAGACATTAACAAGTCAGCACGAAGTTAGGAGTCAGGAAGGAAGAATAAAATGGAGGATATCCCCATGTCACTGTATAAAACCACTGTGCACTCAGTTTTGTCTATTTGCGCACTTTCATCACCTTCACCTTAAGAAGTACAAGATGATCTGGGTCCCTGAAGCACCTGATGACCCAGTAACAATCTGGTCCTAGGAATAGCAGCCAATAGCTTCCCCTGGACTATACAATGGACTAAATAGTTGATCACATCATTAACCCTGTTGTTCCTCAAGCTATCAAGAGATAACAGGGAAAAATTTCTCCAACTGCCTTCTGCTACTGCTGCAATATTTTCCTTGCCTTCACTCTCAGGGTCTTCAGCTTCATCCTCAGTAGGCTCTTCTTCCGGACCATCGAATTCTACCATGATAGCCTGGTCCTCTAGTTCATCTGCTTGTTCATCAGCTTCCTCTAATGGTTTCATCCCAGATTTTCCAGAGGAGAAAAAAGCATGAGAATGCCTGCCCAGACTTCCAGCTTCAACACCTCTGGCAATCTCACATTCTAGAGTTCCAAAACAGGAAAAATACATTACTGAAACAAGTATCACAGCCAAAAGTTCAAAGCAGTCATGAGAACAAAACCCAGCTTTCCATTCCTCACAATGCTGCCACCTATAACATTCCCATCTTCAAGAATTAGGGTGTCAATACACTAAGCTAGATAAGGTGATGAATCCTCAACTTTTCCCTGTGTTACATCTACGTGTGCAGAGGTCACACAAAAAAAGAGCACTTGATAACATGGAGAAGCCCATGAGGTCCGAGTGAAATTTTTATCTGGGCTCCTTTTAAATGAACTTCCTTTAATAAGAACTTTTGTCTCTAAAAGAAGTCTTATCAAAGCCTTATTGCAGCACGTTGAACACACAAGACCCAGCAGTTCAGGAAAATTAACTTGGGAGATCCTGATTTGCCAAGACGCTCAGAAGGTCTCCAAGTTTTATCAATCTTTGCTTAATTCTAGAAGTACCACTGGTAAGTTTTAATTAAGCTTCCCACAAGTATATATTTCTAAGCAGTATTGCCAACATAATTTTGTTTTCCACTTGAGCAGAATGCAGTCTTTCAGCTTAAAATGCCAAAATTAGTTTGCTATCTTTCCCAGCATTTAGCCCAGATTCCAGAACGCAGCGAGAGTTAGCAAGTCTCTCTCTCCCAGCACCAATGCCAACAACGCAGCTTGAGACTTTGGCATTAGAGACAGCCTTCAGTATTAGCGGTTGTCCTCACCAGCCTCAGGAGAGCCTTGGTGTTCAATGCTGCCTTCTGCTATTCCCTCTTCTTCTGAAGGGGCCATTTCTCTTCCGACTCCGGCATCCTGTTCCACAGTTATCTGCAATTCTGCTTTTTTGGTCAGTTTCTTCGCCAAACGTCCAGAATATCCAGCGTTTGCACGATGCTCTGCAGCTAAAATAGGAAATTCTATCATCAGTCTTATCTACAAAAAGAACCCCTAACCACACAGTTTAACAGCCGCTAAAATTTACGCATAAGTAAACTCAGCAATAGCCATCAGCTATAAATAAGGGAAGGAGATGCAGTTCCCTTCCAAAAGTTTAGAGCTGAAAAATGCACAACGTTTCCTGGGTTTGCTCTACAGCCACCTAATTAGGGTGCACAGCAGATCCCAATGAAGGAATTTTACCTATCAGTAAGCGGAGCTCTTCGAGATCTGCCATCTCTACATCTATTCTCAATTTTCGGTGATTGTGTGAAAGACCAATTTGTTTTCCTTTAAGTCTAACAATACACAGAGCTTGTGCTCAGTTTCTCCTCCCCCTTTCCTCAGTATTTCTGAATAAACAATTTTGGAAGAGATACATTGCACTACAAAGAGAAGAGCACCTAGCAGTGGTTTTAACCATTCCGGACAAGCCTCTAGCAGGCAGGATAAGGAGAAATAAACTGACACATGATTTGCATGCCTTTAAAAACTCTAGCTACTGAGGTAGCTACTGAAGCATGCTTAAGTACTCCTTTTCTCTACATACCAAATCTATCGTCCGCATGTCTGTTACCATATAGCTCAGAAATCCACACAGGTAATTATTTGGAGAAATCTTACTGGGAACTCTCACAGTACTGTCACGTGCTGCAGGGTTTGGAAATCTTGGCTGAACCCACAACCAGAAGCTGTAAAAGTGGATTTTCACCATCCTCTCCAGCAACTGGGAGTTCTCACACTCGCAAGTACAAGTGTCAAGGTCTTGGGAGACGCAAGCCCCGATGAAGGACAGAAGGAAATCTGACCAAAGGTGGTACAAAAATCAGCAATGCCAGTCTCACTAACCAGAACATTGGGCTCCCTACACCAACGCAGGGCAAAATCTTGCCTAAAATTAAGTGAAATATTAACGAGCTTTGCGGGGAGAAAACAAAAGCTCAACTCGACACCGAGACTGCCTAAGGCAGACAGCCACCAGTGATTCTCTCACACTGCTGGATCCCTGCTGGGATACAGTACTTCAGCAGTGGAGTACCAGGTGCTATTGAGACATTCAAGTCTGAATTTTTACTGATTTCTTCACCTGTTGCTAGTGGCAATGCCTCCTGCAGTCTGGTATAACATACACGCTGCCAGTGCCGGTTGCTCCTCTCTAGTTTCTGCGCTGACAGATCAGGGAGCTGTTTGTTTCAATTTGTTTGCTGAATCATCTCCTCCATGCCACTCAAGGCTTTGCTTTTTAAACTTCTTACATTTCACTCCCATTGCCTTTTCTTCCAGGCTGAGCAGTCCGTATCTTTAGTCATTCAATGTACAGAAACTGCTCCATATATCTGATTATTGTTAATGGTATAACTGTTCTTCTCTGCACCTTCTCTAGTTTTGTTAGAGATGGAGAGGTTAGAACTGCACGCAGCATCCAAAAGGTGAGCATGACAATCATTTCTGTAGTGGCACAGTGACATTTTGTCATCTCTTCCTTTCATAATAATTTTTTACATGTTATTTGCTTTTCTGACCAGCCCACAAGCTTTGAGCTGGTGTTCACAGAACTGTAACAATCCTGAGGTGACTTTTATCAGCCTCAAGAGTCACATCCCGTTTCCACTTCACGCTCCCCAGGTGCACCCAAGCAAAACTACAACAGGACAAAAGACTCAAGAAAGGTTACAGGATGCCAACCTTATGTAACTGTAAATTTAGACATGCAGAATATCTCCTATCTTAATGAACTACTCTAAAAACTGTTTAAAACAAAAGGCTGTATTATCACGATAAAAAGGCAACATAACAAATTTTGCTGATACACCTGGTATATGCAAAAATTTACTTATGGGCACTGCAAGTATTCAATTTAAAATTCTAACAACAAAACTGTTAGTGCCAGTTCCATACTGCCATAAGGTAATTCATATGAAACTTCAGACATAATTAAGCCTAGGCAAAGCTAAACCCGCATGGCAATGGTCTTCTCTCATTTCCAGACGCTGTTGAAGGAATAATGGGAAATTTACTGCACAATAAAGTCCTATTTTACTCTCCAAGTCACCTGAAAAACTCTTGGTTTCAATCAAATTGAAGTACTCCATTCCCTTGCAACAGTGAAAGCACTTCTTACCCTCTCTGAAAATCTCTTCCTGTTCCACTTTGTTCACTGTATTAGCCACCTCTTCTTCTGTAGCGCTTACATCTAGGTCTTCAATTATATGGGACACAACTTCTCTCAAAGACACGCTAAAAGATCTCTTAGGCTTTCGAGGGACTGGGGAACCCAAACGTTTCCTTGCACTTCTGGATGGCAAAGAGGAGCTCCATCTATTAACAGCTAGAAATGGAGAGCACTAATGTGCCTCCAGTATCTTTTTAAACTTCCTTTCAGCTTTCCTGATAAGTAAAGAACCCATCAAGCAGAGAGAGAACATACACAAGAAAATGCTTTTCCTTTACTTGAAACAGTTTAGGGAATTCACACTGTACCTTAGGAACCAGTTGGAAAAGTCCTTGCAACTACTTTTCAGTTCACACTGAGGAGCAGCATTGAAATCTGCTACCTTTGGTAAAACAGCAGAATTAACCATTAACTTTTGACATTAATGCCTTACAAACTCCAGCAATGTTTCAAGATACGCTTTCACTCCCCCTCCTCTTCCTCTCATCTGATCCAGTCCCCTATTCCATGTCCTCAACACTTTCCTCCACGTTATCTATCCATCTGTCCTAAAATTTACTGCCATCAGCCTCTTCAGAGTCACTGTCTCCTGTTGGTCTCCCTTGTAATTTCAAAACAACTTTTCCCACCAAGCTCCCCACAGACAACCCCCAGAAGCACAGCACGGTGCAGCAATCCACCAGGCATCAATTAATTTCTAAGCTTTCCATGGCAAGAACTCCTCTCCTGGCTTGAGCAGTACTAAATACACCAACTGCTCTTTAAATACCGCTTCTGTGGCCCTTTTGGCAAAGGATCATAAAAAAAAAACTAAATGAAAAAGAAACATTAGGTGTCCATACGTCACAGAAAGCATAGGGAGCTTTGATTGAAGCTATTTACCACAGCAGATCCTGTCCTGGCTAGCTGTCCCAGGGTAACTTAAAGCAGAAAATTTTAAGGTTACAACCGTGGGGCCTGGTCCACGCAATACGAGGAAAATGTGCTCCTGTTTACACAGCCAGGACAAGGCATTTACAGGAAAATGAATGCAACCAACCGCCGGGGAGAAACTGGCAAGCGATAGAATGTGCAAAGCATCGGTACAGCATGACCAGGGAGGTGACTCTCCCTGCCCAAGGGATTTTTAAGGCCCTGGAGACAGCAAAGGGGTTAGCTATGACACATAAATGACCTTAACAGGGTAAAGATCCAGACTCATAAGCTCTCATTCTAACTCTGCCTACAATTCCTACATATTATCTCCTTATCTCACCGTATTTGTGACCAATTTATGGTGTCCACTTCTGGGCTCCACAGTGCAAGAGAAAGATGGACATACTGGAGAGAGACCAGCAAAAGGCCACCACGACAATTAAGGGACTGGAGCATCTCTCCAAGGAGAAAAGGCTGAAAGAGCTGGGACCATTCAGCCTGGAGAAGAGAAGGCTCAGGGAGAATCTCATCAATATATGCAAGTATCTGAAGGGAGGGTGTAAAGCAGATGGAGCCAGGCTCTTTTTAGTGGTGCCCAGTGCCAGGAAAGAGACAACGGGCACAGACTGGAACACAGGAGGCTCTGCCTGAAAATAAGGAAACACTTTTTCACTGTGAGAGTGACTGAGCACTGGAACAGGCTACACAGAGTTTGCAGTCTCCATCCTTCGAGACATGTAAAAAGCCGCATGGACACAGGCCTGGGCAACCTGCTCTAGGTGGCCCTGTTCAAGCAGGGGGGTTGGAGAAGATGACCTCCAGAGGTCCCTTCCTACCTCAACCATGCTGTGATTTCAGACAATACCTGCTAAGCCCCAAGTCCTAACCCATTGTACTCACTGCCATCCACCACCTCTTCTGAAAAAGAAAGCCGTTCCGTTGGGTTACTCTGCTGGGAATGATCTTGCTTATCTTCTCGCTCGTTTGCAGGTGTTCTTGGAGGTACAGGACCCATTCTGTCCACATGCTCATGATCAAGGGTTAAGTCCTCAGAATATCTTTGGGTCTTTCCCTCATTTGTGCCCACACTGGATACCAGGCCCACCAGCCTTGCTTCCTCTTGAGCTGCATCAGAAATCTTGCTTCTCTGTGCTGAAGTTTTCAAATCCGATAGCTGTGGTTCAAGAGCAGAAAGCTTATTTTGGCTCTGTTCGTCAAACTGAGGCTGAACAAAGAGCTCCGTGTTACTCAGCATGATTTCTGCATCACTCGTCAGCGTGGCTGTTCGAATCCCAGATGCTGTTTGTGAGTCCACAAGACAGTCCTGTGCTGCTTAGATAAAGTTTTAAAACAAGTTTTATGTGAAAAACTGCTCAAGGTCATAGGGACACAAACTTATTACCAGGACTCGCACAATTCAAAATTTAAGTCATTCAATGGGATTTTATTCATCCTCCACAGATCTAACCCTGAAACTGTATCACCACACTTCAGTGCCCCTAACTTTCTCTACCAAACCATCTCCCCAGTACCCACAGTTATGAACACTATCCCAAGTAATTCCTGTGATATATTACCAAATAATAAATAATATTAATTACCAAATAATTGTTACCAAACTGGGTGGGAGCACATATTTAAGCGCAGAATCAAAGCAACAACAGGTACAGAGCCTCATCCTAATCTTGCCTCCCAAAACACACTGGATTTCTGTGAATGTGCTAGTGGCCTTCAAATTGTAAAATACAGACCACACTTCAGCGACTGCTTCTAAAAGCTACCTTATACAAGGCCCTCCCTCCCAAAACAGAAGAAGCAACACAAAGGAAACCTTTTCTCTTCAGCATGTTCTGTTCCACTCCGCCTTCAAAAGCTTCCATGTCAATAACTTTGCGATGTTTTGGCCTCCGGAGCAGGCCTCTCTTTTCAATAGTGTCTGGTGGGATCAAGGAACCAAGAGACATGCGAAGAGATCTGCGAAAATAAAAGGCAAGAAATAGTTTTCCAAACTTACACGTTCCTCTTTTACCCTCAGATTACAGACATGGTGCCACAAACAGTGAGATGTTTCAGAAATCCCCGAGTTAGGAGGCATTTCTCCCCAAAAAACCTTGAAGATTACATGCCAGTCTACTGTAAACAAATTGTTTTAATTTCATGTTATCACCTGACATCAGGATATGTATCACAGAGCGCAGGAAACAGACTGTTTTACAGCCTCCTACCTGCAACAATATCTATGAAAAAAGGTTCAGGAATTTAAAAAATTTTAAATAGCAAAAAAAAAAAAAAAGGAAAACAAATGCTTGAGAATAAAGATGTCCTCTAGACGACAGCGAGGTAGTAGGAGGACTTCAGAACAAGCCTAAGCTGCTTAATATCAGTATTCACAGCAAAGTACAGCTACCAACGCACTAGACCTTTGAGATGGGAGCTAAGAAAGCACCATGCAAAGCACGGGAGAAGATGTATCTCAATGTACATATTTTGGATCCTCAAGAGACTGGCCACACTCAGCTCCCTCCTGTCCCTCCCTCTAGACAGCCCAATCAGAAAGGGAATTCAGAGGATTCAAAGATAAGAAGTACAGAATGCAGCTCTATCAATCACCTCGCACGGGACCACAGGCCGCAGCAAGAAAGCTGAAATAAATTGCTAAGCACGACTAGGATCATTAGCGAAGTACATGGGCAACACGAGAAAAGAAGTTCTCGACTTGCTTAAAGTCCAGGAAAGTTGGACTAAAGACTGCATAGATGCAACAGATGTGATGAGTCAATTAACAGGCAGAGATAAAGGTAAACTGTGTACTGATTTATTGTTGGAAACATGAGAATGAAAGGCAAAAAGGAATGATCCCAATAAGTAAAAAGAGGAGGAATAGTAGCAATACAAGCTAGACCAACCTGGGCACATAGTGCAGAGCCACTATTTCTGAAAATCACAAGGTATTTAGTGGAACACCTTCAACTTCCATCACCAGAGTGGGAGATAACTGTGTTATTTCAAACATAGGTCTTTATCACGAATCCAGGTATCTACACTGTACTTCACAACTACAGAGGTGATGAATCAAGGCAGCTATAGGTAGGACACCTAGAAATTAAGACATTTTAGTTTAAACTCACCGAGCCAAAGCACTGTTGTCCGGTGTTGACTGAGCTAGAAAAAAAATTTGTGACACATTAGCTGAGAAATTACCATCTACCCAACAGGCTGCAGGAACACCCCAATGGATACTCCTCTTTCTAGAGCCACTTATGCTACAATCCTCAAAAGTTACATTTTCGTGAGAACAGAATTAGATAATGGGTTTACTTTACAATTTCTTGTCTGCATTTCAGAACTGCCTATTAGAATTCTAACAAGCAACTTCTGAAAGGGTAATAAAATGGTTGTTTCATAGATTATTCAACACGGCACATGCCCTCACACTCAATAATATTAATCTTCCCACATTAACAGCAAGATGCAAGGCATGGGCCTCAGTCACAACCACCCTTCCACAACCCAAACCAAACATTAAAGCACCTGGAAGCTTTAGAAGTACAGGTAAACTACTCCACAGATCGTTGGTGAAACTGTAATTTAATCCTGTTCTACGCATAAAGTCCCCAAAATCTGAAAGCAGTGACATAATCATGCTCATAGTAGAAAATACTACAGCACGCCCCCTCTGCTTGTACAGAGCTGCCCACATCTCAGCGGGACACGTTGAGACCAGGTATCAGGCTGAAGATAGACAAGCTGATTTTTTGACCACAGCAAATCAGGGTGGGATTCAGCTCCAGACTAAAATATCCAAACACGGGTGTCTATGTTCCCATTACAGTCAAGCACAATTAATCAAACACAGGTGTCTGCTTTAGGGTGAGCTGAATCACTCTCCAGACTCCACTGACTAGATCCGCCCTAAACTTTAGGAAGGCTTCAGTTACCTAGTGTACACACAGGCACGTAAGTTCGAGCTGAGGTATGGGTGTCTGTAATTTGGAGCTGAATCCCACCCCTGAATTCTACTCCAGTTGCTACTGCCAATAGAATACATAAACCAAGGTGAGGTGTATTACCTTTCTGTCTGTTAAACGGCAACTAAAATGAAAGTTGTATTTACCAAATTTGCAAATTTATGTTTAAAGGGGAGACTTACTCCAAAACAAAACACTATTTCTTGTATAAAACTACAGGACCCTTTCTTCTCCAACACGAATTTTATAACTTCTTTGACATAGATGCAACAAAACGTGTGCAGCTTGTTCTATTTTTAGGTTTCTGGAATTGAGGGGAAGACAGGGATTGCTTCCTTTGGCGACGCTTCAAAACTCAAAGAGCACCAAGTTGCAAAAATAGTCACTAAGTTATGTACAGTCAGGGCAGGACCTGTAACTTGCCTCAAAAAAGCTTCTTTTAAACTTCACAGGAGGAGCTTTTATCTTCTCCACTATTCCCTTTGCACAAGCTGCTGCAGTCTTGCTTCCAAACATACAACTGCCCAGCTGAGAAATTACTAAGAACTAAACTGCAGCAGATGAAAATCAATTGACAGCAAATGCAGTGCTGAACAAGGTAATTTTTGACTGTGGCCTTACCTTGGTTCTGAGGAAGTCGTTTGTCTGCTGCCCTCTCAAATTCAGAAATGCTGAATTTCCTTCTCTTCTTAGTCATACGGAATGTGGGAATAGATGTATCCTCAGGAACAAGGTCTGGCAGTTGCATTTCCCCCCTACCAACACAAACCAAGCCTTTAACAAAGGACAACATTGTCGCTTAGCTACCCTAGACAGGTCCCTGTAACATTGCTGAAAAGTAAATTAAAATTATTTGTCCTTGCTGCAGCAAAAGTAAGGAACTAATCAGCAAATGCAGGAATGTGTCATTATCTCCTACTGAATCAAAGTAAATTTCACAAAGAGAATCAAAACTTGAGTGTATAGTCCAAACAGGGCTAAGAAAGGTCAAACCAGTAAAAGCTTGGATTTCCTACAAGCTCCATGCTCTCTCCTCCTCACAGCACACAACATCAATCATTACAGTGTCAATGAAAAAGCTATCATCATGAAACAACGCTACATATCACAAAGCACACTGGTACGCAGCATAGACGCATAATATCTCAGTCAGGCACTGGATCAGGATCAAAAAGTAAGTTTCTAAGCTGCTTTCCTCCTTTACTGAGAAGTTCCAAGAATCCCCTCTCGTGAAGGTCACATTAAGGCAGGAGCTGCTGCCAGCCCTCCACCGTGTCCTGAAGAACTAGAGCAGAGCGTCCCTCCCACAGCCAAAAGCCCACACTTCGGCAGACGGAGCATTCTGTACCCTTTGCTGCAATAAATGTGGCTTCAATACAGCAAGAATGGTAAGGCGATTATGTTTACGGGTCTTTTGTTCTTACAAAATACATTCTCTACCAGTCAAAGGTGGCCAAGTTTCATTACTGTATTATGAGCATAATGTAAGACTAAGCATTAGAATTAACTGGTTTGTAATGAGAAACGAATGTAAAGCAGCGGGCAAAAAAAAAGATTACTAATTTTTTGCATTTATCCTGGAAGATGCTATTACAGCAAGGGAAAGCAGTGCCTTCCCAAATCCAAGAAAGTTCATGTCACCTAAGTGACGGTTGTGAGGGTACTTTAAAAAAAGACTTTTTTTTAATTTTAAATTTAAAAATATTTTTTAAAAGTCTATTATCTGTTCAACTTGAACAACTAGCTAACGTATGGCATATAAAATCCTGCAAAGATCCACCTGTTGTCTTTTCATTTAAGAAAGGCACACTCGAAGACATTCAATAATCACAACAAGAAAAATGAAGAAGGAACTAAAATTATTGCTCTTTTTTTTGAATTAAAAAAACCACACAAAAACAAGCTACCACACTTGCTGAATACTGATGTTTCTTTCTCTATTAAAAAAAAAAAACAACAAAACAGAAAGATAGAAGTTTGCTTAACGTTTTACATGACCTGCTTAAGGTTGCTTAGGGTCAATGCAAAAAGTTTAGCTATAAAGACAAAATGAAAGAAATCACATTATTTAGAACAGTCTAATTTGCAGTAAGCAAAAACACATACAAGCGTTATGACAAAACTGGCTAAAGCAAAGTAGGACCTATCACCACTACTGGTTTTCTTCTATTTCGTAACAAAGTGAAAGGAAACAAACCACACTTCAGCCTCTCAGTCATGCCCATTAACTTAAAATATTAACAGAAGCTAAACATGAATAAAAGCAGCTGAGCCTCAGGCAAACCTCCTCTCCAAACCACTCTACAAGAAGGCAGTAACCAAACCAAGGGACAACCAAGAGGCAGTAACACCAAAAAAGCTACAGCAGCCCGGATACAAGACATAGCAATCACTCGTTACACCTCAGCATCATCAGCGCATGGCCTGTAGCCTTGGGGAGATCCAAGAACTTCTATTGTAGTATTTCACAGACAACTAAGAGAAGCAGGCTTCCATCAGTGCTGTATCCAGCACTTCCACTGCAAAAAGGATGTTAAAAGCCTGCATTTAAGAAGGGGAACTAAGTACAAACCTGCAGTGTTTACTATTCAGTCCCCCACTCACAGTGATTTCTACGCAACTTTTAAAGCCAAAGAAGCGTTTCTGAAAATCCCACCTAACAGACACTACTCTGGTCATTGAAACAGAAGTAAGGAAATCCTGCTCCCCAATCCCATTAACGTCACAGGAACTGCAGCTATACCTGGCAGTGTGAAACACCACAGATATTACTTACATGCTGGAGACCCTCTTAGACGGGAGTTCTGATCGAGCTTCCACTGTCTCTTCATGTCTTGATATGTGAGGTGCCAGAGGTGAAACTTGCGGTTCTGCCAACAAACCAAAATATTTCCTTTCCACAATTCAATCCAACAAGAACAGCAAAAAGCAGCAGTGTCAAATATACATTCTGTAAATGACATTTATTAACGGGTTAAAATAAAGACCTGGTGAAAAGTACTGGGGCTCTACTCCTAGGAAGGGTGGCATGTACATTGACAAAGCCAACAGCGGTAAATGGCAGCGCTGAGGTTCCACATACCACAGCAGAGAAGCTGAAGTTTGCAACAGCATCATACAGCTAAAGGCAGCGCGAAGGTTACACGCTTGCTCACCAGGATAAGAAGACTGAGTGAAGAGGATTTTCAAGAATATGATCGCATCAATGCGAGACCCAGTCTCAGACCAGACAGAGCTGTTTTGTATCACCTCGTTCAGCTGCCACTGCAGCGATTCCCCTTTTACACAAATCAGTCATACAATGGTCTGGATTTCTGTTCCCTGTAACAGGGTAAGGCTAATAGGCTACAAAAGAACACCTCCTGTGCTCAACTGTACCAAAACACTGTTCTTCTGCTCTGTTTTCCTTGAAAAAAAGATACTTACGGGTACAGATGATTCTCTTGAGCATAACCCGTGGCGTGTCATTGTCAGGGAACACAGTCGGTCTCTGCTTCAGCGAGGTGGTTCTGCCAGAATTCTTCTCCTTTCGTGAATCAGATACAGTCTGAAGAAAGAAATCAGAGGCAGGCAATTCAAAAATCCTATTTTCAGCAGTAAAGATGAATCTTAGCATGAAAAGCATTCATCATCCATCTTCTAATAAGAATCTAAGCTAGCCAACATGAAACCTTTTCCAAATTCTCCGGAAGAAATTGCACGTGTTTGCTTCCTAACAAATGCTGGCACTTCATTTTTGGGGCAATTTAGAAGGGTCTATCATCCGGCTGGGTCTCACTGCACACCTCTCAGCGCAAAGAAAGGGCTGGGGGAACTCGAAAGCACGGCCCACCACCCTTCATCCCTGTAACAACCCAAAAGGGAGAAATAAAAGAAAAACATAACAGGGGCGGAAGGCTGTAACGGCCCCGGCTATCCGCTGAGCACGGAATTCAGGGCTTTCGGCCCATTTACCATGCCTAAAGGCGAACAAGAGCAAGGGAGCCTCCTCTGCCTCCTCCTCTCCCTCACACCCAGCGGGAGCGGGAACCGGCGGAAGGGGGGAGGGGGCGGCGGGCCGGCCGTTCCCGACAGAGGCTCGGCTCGG